TGGACTAAGGATATGGACAGATACTTCTCAAAAGAAGACATTTATGCAATCAACAAACGTATGAAAAAAAGCTCATTATCACTTGTCATTAGAGGAATGCAAATCAAAACCACATTGACATACCATCTCATGCCAGTTAGAATGATCATTATAAAGGCAAGAAAAAACATTATTATAAAGGGAGGAAAAAACAGATGCTGTAGAGAATGTGGAGAAATAGAAATGCTTTTACACTGTTATTGGGAATGTAAGTTAGTTCAACCATTGTAGAAGACAGTGTGGCAATTCCACAAGGAGCTAGAACTAGAAATACCATTTGACCCAACAATCACATTACTGGGTATATACACAAAGGATTATAAATCATTCTACTATAAAGACACATGCACACATATGTTTATTGCAGCACTGTTCACAATAACGAAGACTTGGACCAACCCAGATGCTCATCAGTGACACACTGGATAAAGAAAATGTGGCAAATATACACCATGAAATATGATGTAGCTATAAAAAAGGAAGAGTTTATGTCCTTTGCAGAGAAATGGATGAAGCTGGAAATCATCATTCTTAGCAAACTAACACAGGAACAGAAAACCAAACACCACATGTTCTCACTCATAAGTGGAAGTTGAACAATGTGAACACATGGACACAGGGAGGGAAACATCACACTCTGGGGCCTGTTGGGTGTTGGGGGGCTAGGGGAGGAATAGCATTAGGAGAAATACCTAATGTAGATGGTGGGTTGATGGGTTCAGCAAACCACCATGGCACATGTATACCTATGTAACCAACCTGCACATTCTGCACATGTACCCAGAACTTAAAGTATTACAAAACAAAAAAAGAAAAAAAAAAGTACTGCTGGCAGCAACAACAACAACAACAAAAGACATTGGAGGCCTGTTGGAAGGGCATGATTGTATTTTGAAATTTGAAAACATGAGATTAGGGAGGGTCCAGTGGCAGAATCATATGGTTTGGCTCTGTGTCCTCCCCCAAATCTCATCTTGAATTGTAATCTGAATTGTACTTTCCACAGGTTGGGGGTAGGAGCTTGTGGGAGGTGATTAGATCATGGGAGTGGTTCCCCCGTGCTTTTCTCATGATAGTGAATGAGTGCTCATGAGATCTGATGGTTTTATAAGGAGCATTTTCCCCTTTCACTCAGCACCCTCTCACTTCTCTCTCCTGTTGCCACCTGAAGAAGGACATGTTTGCTTCCCCTTCTGCCATGATCATAAGTTTCCCAAGGCCTCCCCAGTCATTTGGAGCTGTGAGTCAAATAAGTTAAACTTCTTTCCTTTATAAATTACCCAGTCTCAGGCAGTTCTTTATAGCAACATGAGAATGAACTAATACAAATAATAACTTTTTAAAGTTGGCTATGGGTTGGGTAGATTTATGATTTTATAACTGATATCAATTGATAATTTAACAGATTAGTAATCTACAGTCCTCAAATTCAGCAATTTATGGATTTTTTATTTTTGTGATTTCAGATTCTTCGTAGGTTGATTTGTATACTCTCTTTAGTTTTTAAAATTATTTAAATAATTTAGTTTATAAATAATTATCTTAATGAGGCAAATATGTATCTGTATCATTCTTTCTCCTCTCAGTTGTACCAAGTATGTTACTAGTTACAATGAAGTCTAGATACCTGCTTGGTGCCTATATTAGATTGTTCTCACACTGCTAATGAAGACATACTTGAGACTGGGTAATTTATAAAGCAAAGAGTTCATCATGGCTGAGGAGGCCTCTGGAAACTTACAATGATGGCAGAAGGGGAAGCAAACACATCCTTCCTCACATGGCAGCAGCAAGGAGAAGTGCTTAGCAAAGAGGGAAAAGCTCCTTATAAAACCATCAGATCTCATGAGAACTCACTCACTATCATGAGAATAGCAGCATGAGGGTAATCACCCTCATGACTCAATTACCTGCCACTGGGTCCCTCCTAAAATACATGGGGATTATGGGAATTATAATTCAAGATGAGATTTGGGTGGGGACACAATCCTAACTGTATCAGTGCCTCTTGTCTGGTGCATTTCAAAACCAGAGAAAATGTTGCTAGTTAAGAGACTTGAGCATTTGTTAGTCCTTGCTGTACCACTAGGAAATATTGGAAAAAATCTAAGCATTCTGTGTCTCATATCTCTGAGCTATAACATGTTGGGGCATACAGAAGGTAGAAGGGTATAGGATTTGAGATTCTGAACATCATTATCTAACTGGGACTTTACAGTGCTGTAAAGTGAATGAGCACTTGACAGCTGTACAGATTTTTGAATGGTTTGGCATATTTCATACCTTGATCTATAAAACTCCATCATATTTCTACTGTACATTCCTGGTCATAGCTTGCTGACCTTATTCACTGCCTTCCCTTCCTGCTTTATTCTCTGAACAGTAGGTTAGAGTCTAGAATGATTTGTTAAATTTTTAACACTTTGTTGATATATAAGTGCAATTTTGCCATGGATAGAATATTAAAACACAGCATTTTAGCCCAATAATTTACATTGTGTGATTTAAATAGAAGATGATAATCTTAGTTTCACAGTTGTAGTTTTTAAAATAAAAAGTCAATTTTTGAGACATTAATAAATATTTATGAAATAGACATATAAGATAAATTAGCTATAGTTACAATGTATTATCTGAATGGAAAAAATAGATATTACTGAGATAAACTCATCTATATATCTATAATCTTTTTCAATTTTATTTCACTGAAAGAATACCATCATTCTATCCTTGGTCTTGATACAGTGGCAATCCTTATTGATCAAACATCTGATATGAAAGTCCTTTTGTTATTTTAGTAACTTTACTCTTTTGACTATGGTATAAGATAAACCTCCTCAAACTGATTTTATCATAGAGCTAGAGAAGATCTTCAGAGATCATGTGGTTGCCCCACTTCAATAAGCAAAGCACATTCTTACACACACACACACACACACACACACACACACACACACACAGCATATACTATACACCACACACTTTGCTACTCTTTACCAAATAGTTGTTTAGACTCTTAATCAGCAGGGAAATATAACTTATGAGGCTGAGTATTCCATCTTTGGGCTAATTCTTCTTAAGTCCTTTTATTTTTTTCTTTTCTTGAGTTGAATATAGCCTCTCTAAGGTTTCCCTTCCTTTGGTACTGGTCTTGTTTCTGAGCCATGACTGTGATCTAGTCTAGTGGAAAACATTTGGGCTTTGGCATTAGAAAGTCCTTTTTCAAACCATGTTTCCACCTTCTTTTAACAGTCTTCTTAAGAAAGGTCCAGGATATCTCCAAGAGTTTTACTTAAAGAAAATAGGCTGAGAGTGGTGGCTTACACCTGTAATCCCAGCCCTTTGGGAGGCCAAAACAGGTTGATCACTTGAGGTCAGGAGTTTGAGAACAACCTGGCCAACATGGTGAAACTGAAACCTCATCTCTACTAAAATACAAAATTGGCCAGGCATGGTAGTGGCCAGCACCTGTAATCCCAGCTACTTGGTAGACCAAGGCAGGAGAATCACTGGAACCTGGGAGATGGAGGTTGCAGTGAGCTGAGATTGTACCATTGCACTCCAGCCTGGGTGACAGAGCAAGACTCCCTCTCAAAAACAAAACAAACAGACAAAAAACAAAAAAAAGAAGCCCCCCAAAAAACCCAGCTACCTAACATCAAAACTTTATTCATCACTTCATCAGGTTGGTAGGAGGATCAAATTGATAATGAAAACTTCCAAGGTGTTCTCACAACACTGGCATCATTAACTTGCCTCAGTACATTGCCTCTTCCAATTCCACCCTAGTCTTTTTTTGGATAACTTTTAAATATCTGTGATATTCTTCTTCAGTTTCTTTTACAATAGCCTTGAATCAATTTTCATTTTAATGTTTAAAATTACAGAAATTATTTTTTAAATATTGAGCAAATATGTCACATAATAATTCTGATTTTCTTAGCACTAAATTTGTTTTTATTTACATACACAATGAGGAATTTTTATAGTGATTATGTACCTGTAAAATTTTTAGGTCATTTCAAACTTCCTTTTTAGCAGAATGTGATAAACCAGATAAAACACTTCTTAGGCGTGAGTTTTCTCACTTCAGAGGTTTTCAGGACTATTCTCTAATTTCTGGTTCAGACTCCATATAGAAATGTTATTTCATTTTGCTTATTAGAGATGTTAATGACAGGAGCTCTCTGCTGCATATTATAAATAAAAAAAAACAAATAAAACTAAAAAAAAAAAAAAGAAGAATAGAAAAGGCAAAAGTGGGAAATGAAGACCAAAAAGAAAAATGAAACACTTCAAGTAATTTGTAGAGGTTTATGTCATGAAAGAACATATCTCTAAAGGTTTGTCTTTAATAAAGAGTAATTTTTATTTTCAGTGTTGAAGATTTTTCAACAATGTGGTCACCTGGCAATGGAGCAGATGGGGGAAGCGGACAGGATAGAACTTCTGATCTCTATATCTGATTTTCCCACAGTAGTTTTACTCCACAGCACTATCACAGCCTGAGCCACCAGGATTCCTTTGGCAGACCTGGCTCAGGAAATATCAGCTCTCTCCTACTCCATCAGAAGTCATGCTTAGTGGGTTAACATTTTGCTGATTAATCATTCTGATTGGTTTGAGTTAATTCAGCTCTGCATGAATCTGATGAATCTTTTTTTTCTGTTTTCTATCATTAGTGTCTAAATATCTTATTGTCCCTAGAGATCATTCTTTTGCTTTATCATTCTTTTCTCATGTCTTATCTGTATCTTAAACTTCTGAGTATTTCAGAGCTTTCTATAGCTATAAAATGCAACTTATTACTGCATCAAATATCCTACCTTTGAAAGATAGAAGTAGGAATATATGTTTTGTGAAAATTCAGAGGAGAAAGTTCAATACGTGATTGTGATAGATGTGTTGATGTCAGCCTTTTTAAAAGCATCAAAATAATTAAAAATAATTTCTTTTGAAAGTTGGCCAGGAATACTTTGCCCTGACCATTTTAAACGGAAGTATGTGACCTATGACCTGGATGGAAATGTTGAAGAGTATCACATAGAATTCCTGGGTGATCCCCATTCCAGATCATGGATAAGTGCAACATTTGTTGGACATTATAGTATCACATTAAAGGTAGGTACGGTAACATCAAAACTTTATTATTCTTTCACTTGTTTTTAGTTATGGTAATTTTTATCTTTAATCATAAAATATATAATTGTTTACTTTTAGATTTATATAAATAATGTATGCTGTTTATTTAAATTCAAATATTTTTATTTTTAAAGTTTTTTCTCAAAGAAAGCATGGGCATGATATAGTTATGGGAGTTTTAACTTTTATTTTTCTAATGGCAATATAATAAAAATCAACAAGACTTTATGTGATTGCCTTTTGAAACAATTTTAAGACTATCATTGGGTAATTTTTTAATTCTCTTGAGAAGAGGAGACTTTCTGTTGTAGCCATAGCTCACAGGAAAAATTAATTATGGATTGCAACCAGCTTTTCAAATTTCAAATGGAATATTTCATTTATACTAACTCTTCAGTATTTTTTTGACTCCTTTTAAACTTTAAATCTCACACTTCAATTAATGGACAGACTGTTAGGTTGGTAAATCAATTAAATGATCTGTGTTTACATTCTAATATTGAAACTTTTCATCAGATAATCATACTTCCATTAAAACTTGATGAAATGGTAGATGTAGATGTCAGAAATGTGAATACCTTTTACTCAATTTGGATATTTTCTCTTTTTCCTTTTTACATATTTTTTGAGATGGCTGGCCTTGAATTACTGGGCTCAGATGGTCCTCCTACCTCAGCTTCCCAAGTAGCTAAGTCTACAAGCACACACTACTGTGCCCAGCTGGATGTTTTTTGTTTGTTTTGTTAATAGATGTGTACATATTTAGATTTACAAATAAGTAATATGTGTATTTGAAACATGCAATTTAATCCACAGTAAAATTAAATCTGTGAAAATTAGGGGTACTTTAAAATGGGTTTTTACTGTATCTTTGGCAACAGTATTTTGGTATTCAGTTTTAAAAGGGTAAGAGGGAAGGCTGTTTTTATGAAAACATTCAAGTATGGAATAATGCCATATAAATCAATTTCATAGTAGTTGTGATCCAGTCATCTTTATATGAGGCATCTTCTGTGCTCTGATGTTTTGAATGTGCTCCTAGATTCTTTTGCTGGCAACCACAGAAGACAGGATAGAGTATTCCATCTGTTCCCCCTTTATAAAGGATGGGGAAATGTTTTAGCATTCATGAAGCTGACCTTAGAATCTTACATTGGGATAGCTGAGATTTTCCTGTCCTTTGAAAGTGGAGATAGTATTGACCCCAATTTACATTCTATTGCCTAGACTTCCCAGGGATTTAGTCTTTTATAGTCGTTTTTGGAGCTCCTATATCCTCTGATGCTATCTTTATACTTTTCCACATTGATCCAGATATTAAATACACGCCCCTGTCTTCAGAAAGAAAGACCACATACATGAAAAGTAATGTATAGTTAGACAATGCATAGTTTTAAAAATTTTTTTCTAGAGAAAAGATATATAAATTGTGTAAGTTATTTGATAACTTTTTCTAAAACTGGATGAAGAATGATAGTCATATATAATTTTAACTGGTTATAGCTGACTAAATTTTACTTCATATGCTATTTAAATATCATTTTCCTCTAAATTAATTCTTCTAAATTAATTAATTTAACAACTTATTAATATTCCAGGATTTTCACTGAATATGGACTCTCTATATTTTGCAGTACATATATTAAGATGGGATAGAAATAAATTTGCCTACAAAGACCTGCCTTATATGGATTTAAATTAAATAGTTTTTGTTTTATTATGAAGATTTTAACTATTTTCTTTTGGGTTAATCATGTTTGTCTAGTCTTTTAAATAGTTAATTTAATAGGTACATGTTGCCATGTTTATGAGAGCTCTAACTTAATTAATTTTATTGTTAAGAGCATAACAGTACTCAGTCATTCTCTAGTCATACAGTTAGTGTTTTCCCACAATTAATGAAACTATTCATTGATATACTGAGATATACTCCAGAAAATAGGTGAAGGCAACATTTTTGTTATAGATTTATAATTGATGTTAGTTTATAGATTTTATTTTTTAATAGTTAGCTATACATATAACTGAAATCTAGCCTCCTCTCTTATAAAAAACCTTGATATTCCTGAAAGTATTCAGAGATGGGATTCTGGGAAGAAGGTAGAGTAGAAAGTTCCCGGAATATATCTGTCTACCTAGAAAACAATCAGACACTGGTAGAATCTGTCTAATGTAACTATTTTTGAACTCTGGAGTCTATTGAAGGCTCGCAACTTCCAGGAAAAGGCTTGGACTGTATGCTGCAGTTAATTTCCTTCAACTTCAGCTCTTAACACAGTAGCAGCTACCAGTCCCCATCCGCAGCCCTGATGAAGTGACCCAAACTTCCATTCCTGAGGGGTCTGGACTATTTTTAGTCCTGCCTGGATTGGGCTGTTGTAGTTTACTATTGACCTTAACAGCAGGCAGTTGTGCACATGTTTCTGGATCATCTTGCACACAGCTTGCAGGAGCTGAGGTGGGCAAAAAGAACCCTGTTTTCCAAATACTGGGGATCTGTGCTGTAATTGCTCGTTGCTGCTTATGATAACAAAGGTACAGACAATGAAAGGGACAGCTACTGTTATTGTAATCTCCCCCATTTTTGCAAGCCCCTCCCCCTTCAGCTGAAGTCACTTCCAGGGGATTAAAAGCCTGGCACACTTTTGCACCACCCCTTTCATTTTTTCATTTTTCCTCTTGTGAAGGCCATATAGTAAACACTACAAAATTTGAAATCAACTGCATATACAGGGAAAATTAGAAAGTGACTCTACAGGCAGAGGAAAAGATACATGCTCAGAAGAGACCTAAGCAGAACTAAAGTTTTAGTTCAGGCTGATCCTTGGCACAAAGATAGTCTACAACAATAAAAAGACAAAAGCAATAACAGAAAACAGCAAATTGGGGGGAAGAGGAAGAATCTTATTTTCAGACTTACCATACTATTAAATGTTCAGTTTTCAACAAAAATTCATAAGGCCTGTAAAGAAACAGGAAAGTATGGCTCATTTAAAGGAAAAAAAAAATCATCAGAAACTATCCCTGAGAAAAACTTGATGGCAGATCTATTAGACAAAGACTTTAAAGCCACTGTCTTAAAGATGCTCAAAGAACTAAAGGAAAATGTTGAGAGTCAAGAACATGATATATGAACAAAAGAGAAATATGAAAAGGAGATAGAAAACCTGAAAGAAAACCAAAAGAATTTGGGAACAGAAAAGTACAACTGAAATGCAAAGTTCACTAAAGTGATTCAAAGGCAAATTTGAGTAGAGAGAAGAAAGAATCAGCAAACGTGACAAAACAATGGAAATTATTGAGTCTGAGTGTATTAGGTTCTTTAGAGGGACAGAACTAATAAGATACATATATATATGTTAATGATAAACTTCCCTTTTATATATATATATAAAATATATGAAATATAAAATATACAATATTTATATATTATATAAAATAAAATATATAATATGTTGTATCTAAAACTGTGTATATACTTAGTAACTAAATAAGTATATATTTAATAAACTCCCCTTTATTTATATATATATATATATATATATATATATATATATATATATATATCCCTCTGTCCAAAGTGTCCAGGTAGCATCTTAACTTCTAGTTTAATGGAATTGTTGTTGTGTCTCCTGGTGGCTGAGGGAACCATATATATATATATGTAGTTTATTAAGTATTAACTTACATGATCACAGCATCCACAATAGGCTGACTGCAAGCTCGATGAGCAAAGAGAGCCAGTCCAAATCTCAAACTGAAGAACTTGGAGTCTGATGTTTAAGGGCAGGAAGCATTCAGCATGGGAGAAGGATGTAGGCTGGGAGGCTAGGCCAGTCTCTCCTTTTCACATTTTTCTGCCTGCTTTATTTTCGCTGGCAGCTGATTAAATGGTGCCCACCCAATTAAAAGTGGCTCTGCCTTTCCCAGATTAATGACTCAAATGTTAATCTCTTTTGGCAGCACCCTCACAGACACATCCAGGATCAATACTTTATATCCTGCAATCCAATCAAGTTGATACTCAGTATTAACCATCACAAGTTCACCCCTTGTCAACTTGAACCTATACACATCTCCTGAGATCATACATAATCTTCAAATAAAGACAATAATAAGGTCATAATTATGCCTAACGTAATACAACTATCCTTTGGTCAATGGAAATGCATCAGTCCCCAACACAAATACTATTACATAGTTAATGATCCTTAAATGCTGATATGAAGTCAATAAATCTTAAGTCACATGATAAAGGAAAAAGGAAATAAAATGAAGATCTTTTCTTAGTACAAGTGTATATATGCACCAACATGTTTTTAACAAAGAAAGAGGAAATATTCATTACAATTACAGTCCCATTTCTGCAGCTGGTCACATGGTTGTACCTGGTATTGATGACTACCTTCTTCTACTACCCATTCTATATTCCCTTTGCCTTTAGCAAGCATCTAAGCAGGTCATGGTTTTTTTTCCTGTTGAAGTGACCAAAACTCTCATTCCTTAGGGGTCTGGACTATTTTTAGTCCTGCCTGGATTGGGCTGTTATAGTTTGCCATTGACCTTAATCACATGGCATGGTAATACTAAGAGACACCCTAATGGATCTGTATTCCATGCATACTCTTCCTTACCTCCATTTTGGACTGGTCAACTGATTTCATCTTGATAGTCCAGGTCAATCACCCCAGCCAACACTGTAAGGTCCTTCTTAGCCTGTTGACCTAAAGGTAAGAGGAGCCCAAAGTGTCCAGGTGGCATCTTAATTGCTAGTTTAATGGAATTGTTGTTGTGTCTCCTGGTGGCAGTGTTTCTTCCTCTGGAACTAAGACCCCTAGGCCAGCAGAACATAATGTTGTGGGAACAGGAAGCAAAAATTTTGCTAGTGGATCACTAAGGGTAATGGTGAGTGATGCCACTTTCACTTCTACTCCTTGATTCCTGGAACCATGAATCCTGGCTATAGGGGAGACAGTACT